ACCCATTTACTGGACTTTTTTACCATCGTTTTCCATCTTTTTGTGACATCACACCTCTGAAAAGCCATACTGTTGCTCATGGGCTCGGCCTGCTCTGCTGTTAGACCGTCTTCTGTGGTCTCATAACTGTCACTGTGGATGGAATACGTGTCAAACTATTAATAAACACATATTCTGCTCTGCTAATGGCTAAAAAGCCGCCGTACGAGGTGTGTTTTTGACTTGTTCCGGCTCAACTTGTCGGCTAAGACCGCTGAACATTTGCGTTGCTAATGATGTTACTCCTGTTGCCGCTGGTTAATGTGAGTGTTTGCCAGTCGCCGGATGTGTGTGTGTGTGTGTGTGTGTGTCGGTGGCGTGAGGATGCATGCTCATGAGGCTTTTGTGTCAAATTGGAATGTTCCGTCTGGTAAATTGGCCAGAGGCGCCCGTCTTATTTTACGGCAGCCGCTGCTAAACGCTGGATGCATGCGAGTGTGTTGGTGCTCGTCTCCGTCCGCTCTTGTTTGTCTGCGTCGTGTCCCTGTTTTGTTTTGTTTTTGTGTGTTTTTCTGAGTGTGTTGCCCTCCCGCCTCCTCGTAATAGCTGAGTCTGGGTATCTGCGGGTTATTAGTCACAGGGTGGCCACTGAAAATACGAGCCGGACGCCGGGCGAGGAGTCGGCCGTCGCACTCCTCACTTCCATTATTGATGAGGCGTCGCCCGTCGTGCCTGGACGTATTGATCGAGTCGAACAGAAGGAGAAAAAAACAAAGGCAATATATCGGAGATGCGGCAGATTCCTGTTGCTTTAAGTATTACTGGTATTGACGGCTGGTGTGAGATGAGAGGATGAAAACAGTTGTGATTGTAAAGGCTGGTGTCGTTTTTTTTAAAGCTGAATTTAACAGCTGGAGGGAATGAGGGGAGGATTTTAGGGCTGTCGCTGTAAAAAAAAAAATCAGATTTCAGCCTCAAATACACCAAGATTGAAGCGAAACCGGAACACAAACACAGCAAACATTATCCGAGGCTCGCTGACGTCCCAGTTTGGAGTTTGATCGCTTATGTAGATTGCAAACTGTTTCTAAAAGGTCTCCCTGATTTTCATTTTTTTACATGTAATTTGACTAAATGGAGAATTAAAACGACCTCCTCAAGGCTGTGAGCTGCACAGAGCCGTCCTGCTCTGAGCTTCATCATCAACATCACTCGTTTTCATGATTAACATCCTCGTCGACGTTCTGCTGATTTCCGTCTTGTTTGTTTGCCTTCTCGTGCGTGTTTTTGACTCTAAAGTAGCACTTTAATAATAAATAATTAGATCAAGGTTATTGTGTAGTTAAAGCTTCACCTTCGCGGCAGGTCTGAGCTCTGCTGGTGGAAGAAAAAGTAATTATTGAGGAAAACATATGCCGTCTTTACCATTAGCAGCACTGATTGAGTGTAAATTAATCGTTATAATTAGTAATACTGAACTGCAAACCTGTGAACACCTGACGAACAGTTATCAGAACCAGACATCACTCTATTCTAGATGTCTCACTCAAAAGTTAACCGACTGATGTCACCTGATAGCGTGAAACAAGCAACAATTCAGGGATGATTGTGTTGAACTGCAGGCAGTGTTCAGAGAGCAGAGAGGAGGCAAAAATAAAAAAATTAATCATAGATTGAAAGTAAATTAAAACACACTCGATGGATAAAATAAATGCAGGTTTTCAGCAGTTGTTGGACGACACATTCAGCACGGTGAAACATCGTTTTAGGTTTGGTGTGCAGAGAAAAACATGTAGTTTGTTGAAGTTCTGTAAATATAGATAATAGAATATGTGCAGTAGATAGAGGCAGCATTTTTACAGCATCGCTAACACCTGTAGACGCTTTGAAAAGTGCTCTACATGTTGATTCCAGGTTTATTTTCTTCTATTTTTGTAAAAGACAGTCGCGACTCGATAATCCGACACTAAATGTAAAACCTTCTTTTATGTCGGATTGTCAAGACGGAGGTGGAGATACGAGGAGGGCTTGATGCTGGAAGGCTCATTAGTTGTTAATATTCAGTGTTTATAGTTGTTATAATAACTAGTGTGTTGTTAGAACACTGCTGGATTTCAGCCTAACTGACCGGTGCCATTGTGCAAAGGTGAATACGTTCAGACTAAAGTGACCCAAATCTGATTTTTTTGCCGCTATGCGACCTGTATCTGGTCTTTTCATGACTGTCTGAACAACACAGATCCAATTACTGATGAATATCTGAATATTCGTCCCGGTCAGGGGACACTTCCACCCCGGGGCAGCGCTCCGACAGGGTGGAAGTGTCCAGAACACACAGGCAGTACTTGGCTGCTGATGCTAGTTTAGTTAGCGCTCACACTTCTGAGCACGCTCGCTGCGTGTGACGTCGTCGTGTCCTCTTCTGCGCATGCGGGACACTTTTGGCTCGTATGAAGTTCACACAGCAGATCACATACAAGTCGCATTGAACTGGAAACGTGAAGGAAGTCACAAAGAAATCCTCATTGAGCATCAAGTCCTGCAGCATGAACGTAGCCAATCTGTGGGATTGTTCAGTCAGATAATACGCCGTCATCCTGATTGGTGACATTAAATGTCATGTTGGAGTCAGAATCCAAGGCTGTCGCTATGTTAAGGATGTTTTCATGGGTTCCTGTCGAATAGCAACGTTTAGGATCGTTAAGGGTCGGATTATCGAGTCACGACTGTAAATTGAAAGGATCAGAAGAACAAGGTTTTTATTGTTGTTATTTTTAAGGTGTGTGACTGACTTGCCGTGTGGTAACGTTGTGAGTATGAACGCTACGTTTGCGTGTAAAGATGTTTTCTACTTTGGTCCGTGAGCTCAGAAAAGTTAAACCGTTGTCGCTGCTCTTAGCTAATTACCTCGTCAGACTTCTGTAAACGGTTTTTCTTATTGCAAGTTGAGTCACACTTGTTGGACT